CTTTATGCAGTATATAATATAAGTCACCAAAGATGCAGGAAGTGGGGAATCTCACTACCTGCAAGAGATAAGAGCCAGGAGGGGAGCACATCCTTTGGATACAGACATTTCTGGGCATTGAACCTCCTTGATCCAAGAGATAGCGGTGACATCAGAGGTTTGGAAATAGCAGGACCAGAGAATGACAGAGTGGTGTACAACCAAGCCCATGGAGCATTTACTACTAAGTGCCTCTGGGTAGGGTGCTGGCTTGTGGAGTAGGGTTTATCCAGGCACTTAATTGGGGGAGCTGGGCTTGCTAATCCTTACATCAGAGCAGAACACCTTTAGGGAGAGTGTCAGGCCTTTTAAGCAACTATTGGCAGCCCTAAAAGAGCTTCATACTTTGGCTCAAGCAGGGCCAAAGGCAAGAGGCGGTGTTGGCTGAAAGGCCAAAGACCAGGCACAACTGAGAAGAGACTTTCCTGACTGAATAATTGCACCAGAGCATTTATAACCTGATAACTTCTCTAATAAATCCCGTGATCACGGGTACAGTCTGTGAGTTCTGTGTGATCATTGTAATGAATTAATGAACCCAGGTGAGAAGTAGAGTGTGCAGGGGGAATGATGGTTGGCCTCAGAGTTGATAAAGAAGGTTGGAGAGTGGAGGCTTGTCTGACCTCAGCTTCTCAAGAATGGGCCTTGAGTAATCGCTTTGTAGAGTTTGATTTTTTTTAACTCTCCCCTTTGAAGTTAGAGGAAGTTAGATGCCACTCTCAGATCGTTCTCCGGGTACAGTCGCTTTATCTTCCTGTCACTTGCATTTTCATTTCTGTTACCGCTTTCATGTCAACGCCATGTGCTACAGGGACCATAAAACCCTTTGGAACAAGATCACACTTTTACTCAAGTAAGAGAATGGAAACGTCTCTGATGGGAGGACAAAGTGTCTGATGGGAGCACAAGACTCTGTCTGCTTCTCTGCTCCGTGTCACCCAATACACAGACACCATCGTGTGGTTGAACTGGAGAGGATGGAGCAGGTGCATGTGAGTCATGTTCTAAAAGGTGTAGCCCATGGACACCAGAGTAACCTGGGGTGATGCTGCCCCGAGAGCAGAATAGTCCTGCTCTTGTGTCAATGAGTGTGACAGGGTCCTGGATCTGAAGTTACAGTTGCATATAGTGTATGACATTAGCATGGCTGATGCACAAGGGTGGAGGGGAGATGATAAATCATTCGTTATACTTGGAAAAATAGGTAGATTCACCCTTGAATCCCTTCATGGGAGTTGGAGGAGGGGGGGTGGGGGCAAAAGTGCATCATCAATAGAGAGAACTAAGAGTACCAGTCTTTGATTAAAACTGTAAGTATTTCTCTCAAGAGATTTCCATCACCTGCTTTTCAATCCATAGGTCAGAAAGTAAGTCATTTTTCTGGCTAATCCATCCATTAGATTGAAATCTCTCCAGTTTCAAAAGTTTTGAAGACCAGTATGATTCCTCTTAAACTCTATGGAAATGACTTTCAAAATCAGATGCCTTCTCTTTCTCAAATTAAGCTGTCCTACCTCAGAGACGAATGAAAATTAAGCTGCCCTACTCAGACACTACTTCCTGTAGGGTTTTCAGTGGCTAATTCTTCCAAAGGACCTCTGATGGTGTAGTGGTTGAGCAGTGGGCTGAGATCTACAAGGTCAGCAGTTTGAAACCATCACCCATCTGAGGGAGAAAGATGGGGCTTTCTAGTCCCATAAACAGTTTTAATATCAGGCCCTTATAGGAGCAGCTCTACCCTGTCCTATAGGGCATTGACTCAGTAGCACTGACTTTGTTTGTTTGTTTTGGTTTTAATTCCACTGAAGTTGACAGCCAATTTTTCCTTTGTAGTTTCTTCTTAGTCCGGAAGCTCTGTTAAAACCTGTTCACTTTGGGCAATCCTTCTGATATTTGAAAGCCCACTGGCATAGTTTTCAGCATCACAAAACACACAAGTCACCCCAGTATGACAAAATAAGATAAGTCAGGGTTGAATCTTCTCGCCAAATTCACTCCTTCAATCTGTAAGCTGAGCACTGGCCAACACATATTTTGGTGACTCAAATGTTAGACTTGTTTCTGGGTATATTTGACCCACTGATTCAAAAAATGGTGCCAGTCTTCCCCCATCGGCTCTAGTTTTTTAGGTTAAACTTAATCCACCTGCCACCCTCCACTCTGCTCACCCATAAACACTCGGGATATTTTAATGTAGTGTTTAAATGAATACCTTCTTAGCATGAAGGGAACACACTAAAACTTAAAAGAAAGTATGCTACATGAAAATCTATTTGTTTCATACCAAATGCTCAGTATTCCTATACAGACTTTCCATTCCGTTGTCACATGGGAAGCTCCTTTGTAAGAGTTCCAAGAGTGGAATCTTCCAGGACAATCCTGCATAACATTCCAACCATAGCCAAGCATCATGTCTATTTCTCACCTTCCTTGATAGCTGACTCCATTGGTTTGATGTCTAAGTGACTCTTTCACCTTGTTCTTTGCTTAAGTCACCAAGGTTCTCTGGAAAGAGATTTAAGTGACTGTGCAGACAATAGATTTTAACACTCATGCTATAGTCAATCTTGTTGAAATGAAAGAACCTATCATCTACTAATTATGTGTACTTGTCTGCCTTCTTGTTACCAAGAAAGTTTTTCCACAAGAGCACAGAATGACCAGTGTGGAAATTACATAATCTGTCAACTTGTGAAGGGGTGAAATCTAGCCTGTCAATCAGATCAGGCCTCTGTGTAGGCATGGTTTTTTCCTGAGGGTTCTGGGAACTCCAGTCTTCCTCCATGGAGGCGGGACACACACTCTCCCTGTGAGACATTCCTATTGACAAGCCACATGGAGCTATGCTGATGTAACCAGAAACCTGGAGCTGAAGGAGCCATGTGGAGACCCACGCCAGCGCTGAGATGCTTCCACCACCACTGGATCCACAAGACTTTCGACCCACAGACCTGTGCTCTTCCTGCATTTAGCGTCATTGCATGTGCTGCATGAGTCTGAAGAGGAATTTAAAGACTGTTATCCGACGTATGGGTTAATATCAGAGTTGTGGACTTGATCTGGATTGGGCTGGGATGCTTCTTAATATCCAATTACTCTTTGATCTAAAGCTCTTTCTTATATACATATGAGTGTCTATGAATTTGTTTCTCTAGTCAACCTTCACTAACACAACCAGGCACATGATTTTATTTCATTCACTGATGCTATGAAATGTGGGTTATTTGTAAGTTGTCTGATCTGTGGACCATCAAAAATCCCTGCCTTTAGTTTTTCTATAAGTGCAGGTACTTTATGCCCTATATATTCAATGCATGAATTGTCCATATACAAAGCCTTCAAAAAATTGTTTCATTGGACAGTAGGATTCTATCTCATGCTACCAAAGAGTCTATGGATTACAATTTGTCCTCTATCCACCATACATTCCCTTGCAGGCCAACCTTTTCTTGCCCAATATTCATATTTGGTTCTACTATCCCAAAGGCATAAAAAGCAAGGATAATTTGTGTAGCCATTTTGTTGATCAAGAATATTAGCCATCTTAAAGTTTCCACAAATCATCCATTGACATTCTTGGTCATTTATAGTTTCCAAGACTAAAGAGCTGGCTTTGGACTCTTCTTTCACTCTCGTGGAGTAATTGATTGGACTAGAACCATATATGTTGCCATTATTTAAAAGAAAACTTTTCAAACTATGTTTTGAATTGTCAATGAAAAAACGCCACTCACTTGGGTTATATTCCAGAAGAGCAATTTTCTTCAGAAGGTTTCCGGTGTCACTGCAGAATATTAAGTTGTTGTTCTTCAGTAAAGATCAATAGCAAATCATTTTCTCTCCTTCAATAAAATGTAATTTTCATTCCAGGCTGACATACATTCTCTTCCTTTAGTCTGGAGGCAAGCAATTCAGAAGACTCCTTGGAAAGATTTAAGTCCCTGATCAGATCACTCAATTCATTCTGGTCCAAACATTCATAGGATGAAGCTGTTTGGAAATTACTGTCACTGGCTCCATTTTTTTTTAATCTTGTGCGGTATTGGATGTGCAAGACTCATCTTCTGAGAGCTGTGGTAGCTCACAAAAAGGTGGAAGAGGTCCCCGATCTCAGTGAGGAGCAGTAGGCATTAGCTGAATGCAGAAGAGTGTGTATTATAGAAAAGAGGAAGAACATGAGTAGTTGTGAAGGCCATTATACCCTAAAGGGAGTAATTTAAATACATAACTTTCCCAACCAAGAAAGTTTGCTATGCCATTCCGATTCTGCAGAAGAGATCTTTTAAAAAGTAGTCTAAACAAAAAGGGTGCATAAGCAAATGTGGTGAAGAAAGCTGATGATGCCCAGCTGTTAGAAGATATAGCATCTGGGGTCTTAAAGGCTTGAAGTTAAACAAGCAGATATCTAGCTGAGAAGCAACAAGCTCACATGGATGAAGCACACTAGCCTATGTGATCATAAGGTGTTGACAGGATCAGGTATCAGGCATCAGAAGACTCAAAACAAACAATCATATTGATACAAACAAGGTGGGTTGGAGTGGAGACCCAAGGCCCATTTGCAGACAATTGGACATCCCCTCACAGAAGGGTCACAAAGAAGAGACCAGGCAGTCAGGGTGTAGTATAGCACCAACAAAACACACAATATTCCTTTAGTTCTTTAATGCCCCGCCCACTATCATGAAGCCAGATCTACCTTACAAATCCAGCTAGACTGGAGCCTGTACACTGGTACAGATGAGAACTCTTGGCACATGGAATCCAGGACAGATAAATCCCTCAGGAACAATAATGGGAGCAAAGATACCATGAGAGTAGGGGGAAAGTCGGGGAGGAGGAGGGGGAGAATGGGGGAGCCGATTGCAATGATCAACATTAACAGCCCCCACCCCCATGGGGATGAGCAACAGGAAACGCGGGTGAAGGGAGACAGCAGATGGTGTAAGATAGGAAAATATGTGCTCGCTTCGGCAGCACATAGACTAAAATTGGAATGATACAGAGAAGATTAGCATGGCCCCTGTGCAAGGATGATAACGCAAATTCGTGAAGCATTCCATATATTTTTTAAAAGATAGGGAAATAATAATAATTTATAATTTATCAAAGGCTCAAAAGGGTGAGAGGATGGGGGAGGGAGGGAAAAAAGAGGAGCTGATACCAAGGGATCAAGTAGAAAGAAAATGCTTTGAAAATGATGATGGCAACATATGTATGAACGTGCTTGATATAATTGATGCATGGACTGCTGTAAGTGCTTAAGAGCCCCCAATAAAATGATTTATATAAAAAAGTAGACTAAAATTCTATAAGTTCAACCATATGTGATTTATCCAATGCAATTTTCTGAAACAGTGCTCCCAATAACCTCAGAAACAGGTCTAAACACCAAGACACCAAAACACCAAAATTTTTATGTTGTTGGGATATGGAGAAGCTGGGTTATATGAAAAAAAATGGCAACAAGGTTGATATGCAGTGTGATATGCAGTTGACATAATTTTGCTTGCTGATGAAGATCAATTGTCAAGGATTTCAGTTTGCTTGGATCCACAATCAGTGATCATGAAAGCGGCAGACAAGAAATCGGCCAATGTATTGCATTGGGTAAACCTGCTGCACAAGATCTCTTTAAAGCAAGCGGGTTACTTTGAGGACTCAGGTGTGCCTGACCCAATCTAGGGTGTTTTTAATTGCCTCATGTGCATGTAAAATTTGGACAATGAATAAGGAAGACTGAAGAAGCATGTGTGCACTTGAATTAAGATACACGTGAAGAATACTGAAGGTCCCATGGTCTTCCAAAAGAAACAACAAATCTGTCTTGGGAGAAGTGCAGTCAGAATGCTTCTTAGAAGCAAGGATAGCATGACTTTGTCTCAAGTTCTTTGGTCATGTTGTCAGGAGAGTCCAGTCCTGGAAAAGAATAGCGTGTATAGAAAAGCAGAGGGGCAGCAGCAAAAATAACAACAACAACAGCAACAAAACAACCCGACACAACAAAGCAAAAACCAAAACTAGAGGAAGAACTTCTATGAGATGACTTCACATAATGCATGTAGCAATGGGCTTAAATGAACAATAGCGAGGATGGTGCAGGACTGGGCTATGGTTTGTTCTGTTGGACATCAGGTCACTGGGTTGGAACTGTCTCCACAACACTTAGCAGCAACAACTCAGAATCTGCTTTCCCTACAGACAGGAGAATGTCTACTAGAGAGCGGACCTTAACTTCTAAAGACACACACAGCCCTAGAAAGGGCTACACAGAGATGCAAGGGTCAAATATTCCACCTGATGATTAAGTCAATGGACACATGGGCTGAGGTCCTGGCCCTGGACACTCCAGAGATGATCAGATCCCAGACAGGGTGGCATACCTCTTTTTCTAGTGAGATTGCCCCATCCTCACAGAGCAACACCAAGACAGATATACCTCTGTAGAGGGTCATTACCAGCACATCCCCTAGGTCACCTTTAAAGAGCTCCCTGTGGGGCCTGTGAGTCAGCTGAGATTCCGTAGGAAGGAGAGTGACCCCACCTTCCTCTCACAGTCACCTCTTCTGTTTCCACACAAAATCGATGACAAAGGTCTCCATTCAAGCCAGCAATAGCATCATCACAGATTATAAGGGCCCTGTATTCCTGATCTACTTCATGAACTACAGTGGGATGTCCATCTGGTGATCATCAGTGGGCAGGGCCTGTGGCTCACCAAGAGGGTGACTGGTCCAGGCAACAGCTCCTGTACCATGAATCCCGCCAGAAGATGGAATTCTGGGGAAAAACCTTCAGCAAGTATAATCTGATATTGTTGCTAGGCGCCAGGGAGTCAGCTCCAACTGGGAAATGGTGTGCACAACAGAGCACACCATTACCTGGTCCCATGTCATCCTCACAATGAGTGTGTTCGAGCCCACTGGTGCAGCTGCTGTGTCAATATCCACCACTGCGAGGGTCTTCCTCTTTTTTTGTTCACGCTATGTTTTGTAAATTATTATGTCCTTCTGCGGGGACCAGTCACTCTGCATAAAAGATCCAAAGGACGTAAGACAAAGCCTCACATCCTCATTGCAAGGAGCATGCTGCAAAACCTCCACGAGCGATCTGTTGGTTCTTCCAGCAGCCCAGTGCATCGTCCGTCAGTCTTCTTCACCAATACCATCGCTCAAAGGCATCAACCCTCTGGAATCACAGTTCCACCATTCCTCCAGTGAGAGGTGCAGGGAGGTTCCTGGACTTGCAAAGGGTAAAATTAATAAACAAGAGGACATCCATATGGCGATCATTTACTGATGAAATGTACTTAACACAATGCCCACTAAGTCCTGCCCAGAGGTGAGGGGAGGGCTTGGAGAGCCCAAGAGCTAAGAACCTGAGATCTGGTACAGTGGCTGAAGAACAGGAGTTTCCTATCCCACACACAGTCCCCACAACAACTAAGTGCTCCTGGATGGCCTTTCCCTAAAGGACAGAGTGTAATTCAGGGCTTAGGCCTGAAGGTCTCCGTGGGAAGAGGCCCCTTCATGATTGCATATAAATGGGTCTTGGTGATGAGAAGGTCTCTTCCCATGAGGTGTCACCATTACCTGGGAAACATATGCACAGGTCCACCTGCTGGTGGAGACACAGACCAGACTGAATCATGATCCGGACCTTCTCTGTCCATTGCAGGTGACAGGTTTGCTGGAGTCATCACCGGCATTGTGATTGCAGTCCTGGTCGGGGTGTTGCTGGTGGTCGCTGTGGCGTATTTCCTGTTCCTCACCAGGACTAGAGGGTACGAGGACTCACCCCTCACCGCACCTCCTGCTCTTAGACTGACCCCAGGTCAGGAGGAAGGAGGCTCCACCTTCAGATTGGGGTCCTGGCTCTCCATGTTCTCCAACCCCTGTCACTCTCACAAGGAACCACCCCCCTTGCTTTAGCCAGGCTCCTCTCTCCCTGTGGACTGGCCTCTAATTGGTCCTCACAGTCTCTTCATCTACAAAGTAGGGACAATTATGGCCCCGCTCCTCCGTGCAGTGCTAGTTCATTCAGACAACAAGCCCACAGTGCTGATTGGGAGGGAGTGAGCACTCAGTGAACGCCCCAGCGAGCCTGTAGGGTGGAGGTACAACTGCCCCCTGTGGGTTTCTGAGACTGCAACTCATTACCAGCATAGCAGGCCTCATCTTTCTCCTGAGGAGAGGCTGGTGGTTTTGAACTGCTGAGCACGCAGTTACTACACCAATATATAACCACTGAGCAACCATGGCTCCTTACTCCATGAACAGTGTCTCCTATTATTTATTGAAATCTACTCAACTGGTCAATGGAAATTCCTGTCTTATGTTTTGAGTCCCTCCTAAGTTACTTTTCTCTTAGACTGGCCTCTCTGCCTGAGGCCTTTTTCTTCTGGCTCAGTAAACCTATGGTTTCTTAAGGTCTCCGTAAGGAGATAGTGTAATGGTTGCGTGTGGGGTTGCAATCTGCAGGGTCAGCAGTTTGAAACCAACAGCAGCTCTGGGGGACAAAGACTGGGCTTTCTACTCCCTTAAATATTAACTGTCTCAGAACCGACAGAGGGTCTCTATGGGTCAGCACTAAGTCTATGGCAGTGAGAAAAGGCCTTTTATTCAGCTCCTGTTTTGGGACTCACTTTCCACCAGAACAATGATGGAGAGAGGAAATAGGCAACATCCCCACGCCCACCTTACAGGGAATTGGTTTCCTTCTTATTCCCCTGTTCTGACATCAAACCCTGTGACCTGTGTCTGTAACCCGACTTTCCTATGGGCAGCAGTCAGAGTGATCCTGGACATCAGCAGCCCCCGGCATCGACCTCTGGTGAGTATTTTCTCACCTCCTTTGACTGTCCCTTCTTCTTCACCACACCTGGGGCTTCAGGGAAACATAGAAGCCTCAAGTCAGAGATCTTGTCAGCCACATCAGCGCTGAATTGTGGGACCTAGGGCTTCAACCTCCCTTATTCCCTATCGAGCCCTAAAATGTTCCAAAGCCCCCCCAGGATACACTCCTATTTTCCTGAATCTTTGGAGACTGAGAACCCGCCAGCATCTCCTCTCTGAGGGGTCCCAAGTTCCTTTACACCACCTGTGTCCAGTGCTAACGCTTGTGTTTGATCCTCAGGTCATGATCAATCTGAAAATTCTGCCTCCGTGGTAAGCTCATCCTCTTTACTGCACTTCAAGAGGGGATTCCCAGCTGTGTAGGCTCTGGGCAGAGGACCAGTCAAAATCCACATGTAGCACAGACTCACCAATCTTCCCAGAAAAGTCCAGGACAGTGTAATACATACCCTGGCCAAGAATTTGTCCTCCATTAAGGAATAGGTACTCTCTGCTACCTTGCCCCAATCCCCATCTTCCCCCATGCCAGCATCCACTCAGGTATCTATAAGTGAGGACCTGCAGTCCAGATAGGAAGATAGCGTGGCCCTTGGGAGCAACAATCAGGAATCCCAGCATAACAAGGGGAAGTGGTGGAGATGCAGCAGGAAGGGATGAGGCTTTGTTACAGGCAGGGGACTGATGATCAGAATTGGTTACTCCTGAGGAGAAGTGACCTGAACATCCGGGGATATGAGTCCTGGGCTGTTGTGGACAAGAACTGTCCAGACTAGGGTCCTGAAATGTGCTCACTTGGATCTGTGCCTTAACAAACCCTGCCATTCCTGTCTCTAATGTCCTCCCTCTTTCCTGCCCAGGACCCCCTATATGTCAACCTGGCAGCTTTTCCCATCTATGAGGTGAGTGTGGGCCATGAATGTTCTAGATCTACAGCCCTAAGGGAGAGCACAACCTGACCCCCCTGCACCCGTCTCTGCCGGGAATTCAGCAAACAGTAGCCAATATGGCTGCTAGAATGGTGACCAGGGAGAGGTTGTAGGAGGAGGACCCCCTGAGTAAAGCCAGGCCCCTCGCAGAGAAGACCTGGGTGAGACTCCGAGCCTAGGGGGAAAGTGAGCACATGTGCCGAGAAGTTCTTGGGAGACTCCGAGGTCTCTAAATCTTTCTTTTTGTTCGTATGTTCATTTACAGGAATTACTAAAGCCTGATACAAA